ACTGTGATGTGCTTATTAATACGGACATTTTGTAAGTGTTTTGAATAAAATTGTCACATCTTTCCATTAAAACAAGAATGCAAAGTCATGATCTTTTTCTACCCATAAAAATTCACTTCCATTAGGTATCTTCAGTTGTGCTTTTAGAAATTTTAACAATTACATGCCTGCCTCTTCATTTTGATATTTTTTTTTTTTGGAGTTGTTACTTGCACATTTGCCTTACAATTTATTTTTTGGACTGGATAGCACTGTTTGTCTCGGCAGCTTTTTTTGTCAGTTCACTCGTTGTGTAAGGTACTTTCTTTCATATGCCTTAAACAACCCTCTGATTGTACTGATGTCTCTGAACTGTGTTACTGGAGGATTTGGTGATTAGCAGCTCTTCATTCACCCTTCCCACTGCCTTCATTGTGTCATAAGACTCAATTTTGTTCCCCCCTCAACTTTCCCTAACAAGCTCTATCCTCTCACTTGTTTTAGTTGTTCTCTTTATCAAACTCAGCTGTGTCTTCTGTGAAATGCAGAGTAGAGGTAGGTATAGCATTTAAGGTGTGATTACACCAAGACTTAAAGAAATTGCACAATGTCCTTCTGTCTCGTTCTCAGTATTTTTCTCAATGTCTCTCAATTTTTTTATTTTTTTTTTTTTTTTTGGCTGCTTCTGCACACTGAATTGATGATTTCAGAGACTATTTGTGCTGAGTCCAGGAGCTATCTGTCAAATATGAAAATGTGTTTAATAAACAGTGAATTGAATGATTGCTTTTCTTTAAGCTATCAAAATACTTCACAAATATTTGTAAGTAGGCAAATAATACATTTCTTTAGAGAATATATATTTTTACTATTAGCCCTACTATCTAGGTGGAATTGTAAAGCAAATAACAGATATCTCTTAGTTGTAGTATTAGATACTAGCATGTAGTAATTAGTGCTTAGGTTAGATTCATATACTTTGTCAGGAAACTAGACTTCAAGCAGCATAACTGATACCATCAACTGTAGAAGACAGCATGCAAAATTATTGTCCAGGCTGGTGTACATAAAGAGCTCATAAAACTCTGCCGTGCGAGGAGGGCACCCATTCCAGGAATAAACAAAGCCTATGCACTCTGCTCTCTGCACCTGAGTATTCAGTGTAGCTTGGGAAAGAGCAGAACAGTCAAAGCCGGACATTACTGAGACTAGATTTTTTGAAACTTTGTGGTGTCTCTCTAGACACCCATGTCTACTGGCAGGGAAGGTTGTGGCAGCTCTGGGTGAAATGCTTGTTACTGTAATAGAATAAGTGAAGCAATTTAAACACAAGATAAAAAAACACAAAGTAGACAAACCACAGGTTGTAATTGTGGGAAAGCTTTCTTGCTTCATCGAATGTCTTAAATAGGTGCATAAACAGGTAACAATTAAACAGTTGGAAACATGATACCTGAAAACAAGAATAGGCGTTACTGACCCTGCATCCACAGTTCCAGAAAAAATTTGGCTTAGAGTTGAGTCATATTTATTGCAAACAGATAATAGATGGAAATGAGGTTATTGGATGATAGACGATTGTGAACATAAATGCTAGAAGCATAAGTTTATTGGCTTGCTGATAAGCCTTAGTTCTTAGTCAGGACTGTAAATTAGGCTATAAATTGTGCTAAAGCTTGCAAAAACATAGTGGTGGAAAGACACGAGAAGCAGCAAAAACAGGTTGAATCTGTAAGTTATTTGAATCTGTTGAGTGTAGGCAATTTTAAATACGTACATAAGCCTTACTGAAGTAAGTAGTTAGCTGTTTGCTGACCTTGGACATATATTACTTTATGAAGATTCTAGAAAACGTCTGAGGTTGAGACAAATTCTTGCAAAGCTTACAACTTTGACTTTCAGTCCAAAGTGCATTTATTGCCTTTCAGGAGAACTCCACAATGTCTAGGTTTTGTTCTAAACTGTCCTAGCTGCTATGCCCGAAGAAGATGAACAGTATCCAGTGCAGTTTGCTCTGTGGGTGATCTCTGAAAAAAAAAAGGCATTTATAATCTGCATGGATATTAGTATTTTTCCCTGCCCTTTTTCTGAGCTCAGATGCTTTCCTGGTGTCCCAGCCAACAATTTTTCCAGTGTTTATTGGGAGCTGCAATCTGTGCTGCTTTTTCCCTTTGACTGCTACCTTCTGTCTTTTAAATGGCTTTTGTTCCAGGAGTGAAATCATTCTCTGAAAGTGCAGTATAGAACCATTTGATTAAAGTTTCTGAAAAATGTCAGGGCACAACTAGTTTTTTTACCTGGATTTTAGTGGTCAAATGCATGCAACAGCACAGTAGCATGGAAATTTAGTGGCAGAAAAAAATGTAGTATTCTTGTTTTAAAAATTCTTAATGTAGTGAGAATGTATGCGAAATGAAGCAGGAAGACAAGTGAACAATTTAACAGATCCTGGTTCCAAAACAATTGAAACATTGCAAAAACAAAACCCCTTTCATTTATGGGAAAATATAAACAGAGCTACTTCTTCAGACAAGCAAGTGCTAGGAATTACACATTTTAAAAACAGATCAATAGGATTTATGGACCACTTCTGTGACAGAAGCTAGCCTACACGACTGTTCGAGTTCAGCTTTATAATCCTAGGACAGGGAAGAATTAGTTCTGAGGCCCATGTTCCTTTCCCTAAAGTTAAGCCTTATGTGTCTCACTTTGGCCTCTGCAAAAGTATGGAGAAGATTAAACTGGAAGCTGTTAAAAAACACCTGAAAGGCAGTGCAGTCTTTTGTCACAGCCAGTATGGGTTCACAGGAGGAAAGTCCTGTTTAATGAACTTAGTTTCTTTTTACACAAGATTACTGTTCACCAAGGCAAACTGGTTGATGTAATCTTTTTGAATTTCAGCAAAGCTTTTGATACTGTCTCTCATGGTCTTCTTGTGGACAAAATGTCCACTGTAGAGCTAGACAAAAACATAACATGGTAGGTAAACAATTGGCTGGTGGGTCAGACTCAGTGATGTTTATAGTGAATGGGATTCCATCAGACTGGTGGCCATACACTTGTGGTAATCTACAAGGGCTCCATTTTAGGGACAATTCTCTTCAATATTTTTATAAATGATCAGGGTGCAAGAGTTGAAGTAAGTAAGTAAGTTTGTGTATGACACCGGATTGTGAGGAGCTGCTGTTTATCTTGCTCCACAGCTGCTGTTCTGAATAGTTTTTCTTGTATTCTCACAAGGAGAATACAATTACAATTCTGAGACTCAGATTCACAGTTCTTATCTCAACTTTATGTCTGAATGTGTGAATTGGAAGAAACAGGTTAATATGCTTTTCCACAATCCTGCTTGCTTTCTTAACTCTTTGTAGTCATTTTTAAACTCAGAAACCATCAGTATGTAGTGTCTTTGGATACCTGTTGACCTTATGACAGACTAGCAAGACATGCTGTGAAATCCTAGGTGGCTTTTTCAGCATTTCTTAAAAGGGGAAATACAGTTTGGCCTCAAGTTAATGGTAGCTCTTTAAAGAATTGCAACCTGATGACTCACCTTGGCAAAACTTAGAAGAAATTTAGAACAAGAATATAGAGACACTCATTTGCTAAGTTTCTGTTTGGTATCTAAATGAGTGTATGTTTCAGTGTTTTTCAGTAAACTCTCCTTGAGAATCAAAAATTTTTACTGCATCTCACTGATGCCATTGGTTCACCATGTTGCAAGTATATTTTCTTCAGAACTATGTACAATCAAGCTGTGCCAAATTATGGAAGTAAAACAGAGGTTATCTACTGAGTGAAGACTACAGGGGAAAAACAGGTGATGCAGTAAAGAGCCTTGAAGAGCAAGTTTTCAGCAGAAGTTTGTAATGCTTTAGTACAGTGAAAGGATGTGTTCACATTGAAAACAAGTTGCTTTTCTTTGCGATAGTCCTGTTTTTATGTAGCATTTAGTAACAGTCTAAGGAAAGGAGGCAAATTTATCTCACCTTTCCTGTCTTCACCTAAGCTGCATGGTACAGGAATTCATAGTACACACATAACCAAGCAACTTGGTTGAAATGTGCTTGACATCAGTGTTATTGGTAAAGTGCATTTTTAGTGGCTATGCTGTAGCTTAAGCTTGGACAGGACTCCCTGCATCAGTGGACCTGCTGAGGATAAGCTGAATCCACTGACACTGCTAAAACCATAGAGTTGTTTGACTTTTTCTGGCTAAAACAACACTCACATGTTGTGTTTTCCATGGGGTGAAACTGCTATGCGGTGCAGCTGTAATTAGGGACGTGACTGGGGAAGTGGCTGTGGGTGCACAGCTAGGCTGCATGCTGGGCCTCTGCCAAGCAGGCCTGGGAGATTGCTCTGGAGGATGGAAAGCAGAAGGGAAAGAGAAGGCCTCCCAGCCACACCTCTCTTATTGCTGTTCTAAATCATCCTGCCCTGTGGCAGGAGAGAGGGGGCAACTGGAATGAGCCATTTCCTCTCATCAGTACTGCTCTATGAGGAGCAACTCCTAAGAGGAAGGGAACTGGCAGTTTCCCTCAGGCAGGTCTCTGTGGCTCCGTGCACTGCCCAGGGAGTGTGGCGCCTCAAAATGTCTGTGAGGATCCCTCACAGGTTTAAGAAAGACAGAGGAAGTAATTGTTCCCATCGTGGCCAATATGCTGTGTGAAGCTGTATTTAATGAGAGAGGGTTTGCTCAAGAAAATCTGAAATAGTGTAATTTATTTCACATTGCTAATGAGCATTGCAGTACATCTGAACTGTACATTTCTAATCAAATACTCTCCGTGCTTTCTGTTAGTGGGAATTTGTTACTTCGGCTGCCATTATTTCATTTTTCATGAGAAAAAATCTTTTGTTTAAGACCTAGTTTTGCCCGTGGTTTCTCATTACCTTTTCCTGACATTTCAAGTTGCAAGAGAACGATTCAGAATAGCTGCACAGATGGTTTCAGTTTAATCTGCTACAGAAAAACACAACATTATTTGCTTTTTTTTTTTTTTTCTTCTCAATTTCAGATACCTCTTATACCTGCAAATAAAAAGGGATATTTTCCATGGCCGTTTGCTGTGTTCTTTTTCTGATGCTGCCTACCTGGGTGCCTGTATAGTCCAAGGTAAGTACAAGCAGAAGATTTGTGAGAAATAATTCATAACTCTTAATAACTTAATAACAATAATAATTATTAATAACTTAATAATTCGTAACTCTTCATAAGTGATCAATATAAAGAGAAATGCAAAATTGTGTGAGATTGGTGATGAGAATAGCAATAACTTTTTTTTTTTTTAACCTGTATTTTTTTTTTCTCCGCATTTGTGTCAGTTTTAAAATGTTTAAGTAATTCAGCTTGTAGCCAGCTTATGACACACAGGACTTCAACAACAACAACAACAACAAAACACCAACAAAACTAACTAACCAACCACACACAAAAACTACAAAAAGCAGAACAAAACAAACAAACAAACTTGAAACCCCACTAGCTGATTGCCTTAGAGTTAGAAAGTATGTCACTGGTATTAGACTGCCATTACAAAGAAAGCAAAACTCTGTTCTTTTACTATCCTGAATGTAAACATAGTCTATACTAGTGGAACTAAGCAGGAAAAGTTTCTATTCAGTGTATTTTCTTGTGGAAAAGATTGTCATTTCATTTGTGTAATGCTGGGATGAGAAAACATGAGGAAAAAAAAAACTTCTTTAAGGGTGCCAGAGCACTGTAGAAGGCTACCTAGTGAAGTCATGGAGTCATCTTCTCTGGAGATAGTCAAAATCTGCCTGTAGAAAACCTGCTTTAGCAGGGGGTTGGACTAGATGATCTCCAGAGGTCCCTTGCAACTGATTTGTGAAATCCTTGACAAAGCAGTAGACACAATTCAAGGAGAAAGACCTCCTTTTTTTTTTTTTTTTTTTTTTTTAAAATCTCTTCCTTTCTCATTTTCAGTTAGCAAAGACAGAATTGATATATATATATCTTGGAATGCACTAAATAAGGTAGTTAGCTACATGTCTACTTAGGGACTTCATATGTGTGCAAGTGCCTTCATTCTACCTTAATCTGAATGAATCTTTTCATTCATCATGAAGCTGCTTATCCAAAACAAGATCCAGTCTAGACCATATTAAAAGAGACTTATCTAGAAAAACAGAAACCAAATGTCTCACTTAAATATCTAAGTGATCATCTTTTAGAAGGAGAATCAGATAATGTCTATTATTTAAAGGGTCACCTTTAAATAATGGTACAGACAAGAGGGGATAAATTGGTGAAGAAAACAGCATGGTCTGGAATACACTGTTTTTGTTCTGCCTAGTAGGAGAATGGTAAGTAGTAAAACGGGGAGGGTTTCCTATATCTTCTTTAACGACCCTGTGTTCTGCCAAAGATGGTATTTTAAGATTGCTAATTACTTCTGCAATAAATAAAACATGAAATTTGCTTGAAACTCGGTGATTGTAGTTTCAGCTAGCTACAAGTTCTTCAAAGTAGCATTTCTTCAGAGATGCTTCATTCTTACAGTCCCTGAATTACACTATTTATAGACTTTCTCTTCTAACTTTGCAATTTAATTTTTCTGTTCTATTTTGTGTTTTGAATCTATTTAGCTGAACTTGGTGATTACGATCCTGATGAACACCCAGAGAATTATATGAATGACTTCAAGATTTTTCCCAAACAGTCACATAAGCTTGAGAAGAAAATAGCTGAAATACATAAAACTGAATTCAGGTAATTTAGAGTGCTGCTTTGTAAAGTCAGCTAAGGATTATTTTATCTGTTTCCACATTGCGTGTATTAACCCAGGAGGGTTTCTTTCTTCCTGTTTAATATGCTGAATTTGAAAATTCAGTTTCTGCTTAGTGGGTTTTCTTTTTCTAATAACCTTCATTAATCCTAGCTGTTTCCCACATGTGTGGTGGTAATTTAGACTGCATTTGCTTGAAAGAGGGGTCTGGTTATGGGAGTAGCTCACATCATGTGTGCTGTAGTTGATTAACAGAATGACATTTTTCAGTTTGGGATCAGAAGTACGTGGAAGACTGTCTCGTCTTTGGGTGTGAAATATCTAAATGTAATGCATTACAGAATTCAGGATCGATATTGATTGCAATGGAACTGTAGGTTTTGTTAACAAAGGTACGATTTATACAGAAATGTGTTTAAAATAGTTCTGTGCAAAAAAAAAAAAAAAAAAAAAAAAAAGGAGGTTAGATTTTAGATTCAGTATACACAAACTTTTTCTGTCCTAAACTCTCAATTGTGTGAGGAGGAAGGAATCAAGATTGGTCGATCTCTCTCTAGGTTTCAAAGTTGAATATATCCCTCAAGAATTGTATTGCAGAAGAGTAGTAGCAGTGCTTTGTGCAACTGTCCCCAGGTCAGGATTGTCAGTGCATAGCATGCATGGTAACAGTGTCAGAAATTACTCATCATTTTGCATGGTGGAGAATATACCTCTGAGAACCATGAGAAGAATAGGAAGTGCGGAAAATTAAATAAAATCAAACAATTAAATTAAGAGGATAATTTTTATTCAAAGATGATGAGGTTCATTGCACTTCCTTGAAACATGCCTATCTTGTTTAACAAAAAGAAGATTGTGAATCATCAAGTCTCCCTCCCCAACAAAAAAAGGGAAAAAATTCCCTATTTTCAGAGGAGTTGAAAATGAAAAGCGTTTGTTTTTTTCAGAAGTCTATCATATATATGTTGTTCAATCATAAGGTAAAATTACTGATGAGTGTGCCAGAATTAATGTGCTTCCCCTTTTTTCTTTCTTAAACTTATGTGTTTTGCTTATATTTCTTTTATATTTTATATAACAATATTTTAAACAATATTTTAAATAGTGCAGCTATGGGCATATTTTTAGATTAGTTTAGGCTGAAGTTTACACAGATCCAAAGAAATACTGTTTAAAAACAAAACTAATTTATCTTACTTTAAGCACTAGTCCACATGATAGCTGCAGGTTTCCAAATGCTAAATTCAACCTTTAAAAACCAAGGTTTTTCATCATTTCAGCCATGGTGCAATTGGGAATATTTTGATCCATTTGGCAGGAATAGTCTAGTCTTTTATTTAAAGTTAGGAGAGGGAAAAGAAGACTTGTTAGAGGGAGCTGATGGCTTTTGTATTTAGCAGCCTTGGGAAGAGATGTATTTTTTTCAGTTGTGTTTTTCTCTTGTACATAATTCTGCCCATGCATCATAAATTTACCTGCTGGTCACTCTATTATGAATAATCAGGCTCATTTTTAGCTCATTTATAAATCTCCTGTTCTGATTAGAATAGTGTTCCTCATCCTGTGACAGTGATCATTACAAGCCTTCACTCAGGTCTGTCCAGGATTCTGCTGCGGTCCATTCCTGCGCTCTGGTCCCCCTGCCACTGCTTGTGAGAATATCCCTTGAATTTCATTAGTCTTGGCAAGGAACACCATTAATTATAGCCTTCTGGAAATTCAGGCAAATTGTATCAGTTCAGTTTCCTGCTGATTTCTTCAAAGAAGAAGTGTTTGAGGCAGAACTTTGATTTATAGCAGAACTCACCTTACATCTCATTTCTGTCTGTGTTGGTAATTCTCAGTAGTAGGTTTTGCCAATCTGTACACTATTAATGTTAGACTTAGTGGCTTACAGCTTTTTCTAGATACCAGAAGCAGTTTTCTTCCCACTTCCTCTCCTTCCGGACCATTTTTCTTTTTCTTATTATCAGCTCACAATGTTCTTTATATATTTGCCTGGCTGCAAAGACAGTTTGAGGGCTGTGTGCATATCTGCTGCTTGGTCCTGGCAATTTGCATCTGTAGCTCTATGTTCCAAAAATTGATAACCCTTTTTTACATCAAGCACTCAGCTGTCACATAAAAGTTTTACCTTTTTCATAATATTTAATTCCTTGGATCTCTATTCTAGGATTACAAATGAATAAAACATATCTGTCATATAATGAACTATATATAGAAAGATCTAGTGCTAGATAATCAGATTCTAGTATCTTAACTATAAAAAGATTATTAGAAAAACCACTGAGTTGTCAAGCTTCTATTTCTTGTTTATCAGCACATGTGTTTCATTGCATTCAGTAGAATTTTTTTAATGAAATTAGTATTTTGCTTCTCAGTGAGTATTGTTAGAAATGCTGAAGGAGGTTCCCAGGCCTTATATTTAAAAGGCACTTAAGTCACATGTTAAGGAATGGGAGAACAGAAGAGACAAAGCCATTTTAATCCAGTTTCCATTTAGCTAACTTTGAAAGAGTTATTTCTGAGTGACATCACTGCAGATGAATCTGTCCTTTCATTTTTTTCACACATGTAAGCAAAAACTATGGAATCCATCTCTTCTATGTAACCAAAGCCCTGTGGCTTGGAGGGTGCCAGTTCTTAATTGAATCCTATCTCAGCATCCTCATTCTTAAGGTCTTACTACATGCTGAAAGAATTTGCCTTTTGAAAGTCACATGAGAATAGTGAGAGGAATGTCTGGGAAACAGCCAGTAATGCTGTGACAGCTGCCAATTACTTATGACTTTTTGGTGTCACTTAGAAGAGAAGAACAAGAGTTCTTATTAGCTAAAAAGATGTATGACAGATGTATGACATGGTACTTTTATTTCATGCTGTGTTTGCCTATGAAAACATCACTAGATTTTAGCAAAGTGCAGGCTTTCCTATGACCATCTTCTTCACCTGGTTGCAAAAATTGTAAACATGATGGATAAACAAATGTGTGAAAAAATTTATATTGTGCTGTGATTCTTTGTCTTGTGAGTTGCAATTAGTTATTCTCATTGAGAAAAGGAGAGGAACAGTAATAATTTAATTGATCTTTACAGTGAATGGGCAAACAAGTGCCATGATGTCATATTCTCATTCCAAGTAAGGCCTCTTTTGAAACACGATGTACTGCTGAGAGAAAGAGAGATAATGGTCTTATGGCATAGCAGCTTAGAATGATGAGTACATGTTCACATTAGGATGAGAAGTGGGCACTTATTCTTGAAAGATTTGAAGTTGATTTGATTGCTATATGTTTGGGTATGGATATAACAGTGCAGCTACAGAATTCATAGCTACTTGCATTTCTGCTCGCCCATCAGTTTTAACAGATTGGAAGAGATTTTGGCCATAAAAACAAGATATTCAAGGAGTAGATCAATATATATTTCAAGTGAAGCAGATGCTTATGAATGTCTCCAGTTTACTCATTTAATATTTTAGCTAGACTAGTGCAAGTATTTATGAGACTGCATTGTAAATCACATCACTGAAACAATCCAAATAAAAAACATCTTTTATTTTTTGCTTGTCTTTCAAAGAAAAGTACATGGAATCACACATGCAGTTCTTAGTATTAGAGTATTTTACAGTATTAGAGATATTTTACACACTGTACAATCTTCAGTGTATAAAGCTGTACTTTATTTCTGATGACCAAAAAAATCCCATCTTGACAAAATTATGATAAAGAATACTGTGTAGATCTGGGAGGGAAAAAAATGAAACCAAAAAAAAATGTAACCCATCAAGTGAACTTGGGCAGAATCATGAAATTTTTTTGATAGAGGAGAGAGATGTTAAGCCAAAGATCATTTCTTCAAGCCTAAAGCAGGGATACTAAGATTTTTATTTATTTATTTATTTTAATTTGAGAAGATCACTCAGGCAGTCTTGATCTCTGGAATTTCAGAGCTGTTTTAAGCATATTAATAATTTTATAACTGTGCCCAAAACAGTTGTACTTTTTCCACAAAGTTGCTTAAGCAAATTTAGTCCCTGGCACTGTTTTGATTCTTGCTATTGGATTTTACAGGCTTCTCTTACAAGTAAATGGAGGTCATATATATATCACATACCTGTTGTCAGTTTCTTCTTCCACATGTACTTCAGTGTTGTTACAAGTGCGTCATTTGTTTTAAAAGATGGATAAAAATTTCAGTTGTTTTTACTACATTTACAGTGCCTTCTCTCTTCTCCAAGATACAAATTTATTCTGTCCCAAATCTTCTGTCTTAAAATAGAGTATTTATAACTCTGATAAATTCCCTGTCTTTTGAAGAGTACCTATCAACCATAGTTTCCTGAGATGAGACCTGAAATCCAGAGAATTCCAAAGACAAGATTCATATATAATCTGCAGAAGGGAACATCTGTTTGTTGAAATTATGTTTATTTTCTCCTCTTTTCATATGAAAGGTATGTGATGAAAGTACTCAGAGGTTGAGACTGAAGATTTTTTTTGTATCCCACCTGATAACTGCTTCTGATGTGAAATACAAAGTCATGTAACTTAAATGAGTGTATTATGTAAGAAGCCCTAAGGACACATAATTTTGCCAATTAAATTATGAACCAATTCAAGTAGCTATTTCTCAGGCCAGTTTCATAGGTAAATTCAAATAGTTTATCATTACTTGGAGTTGCTGATGTTAATACAGGCTCAGGGTACTTGACCGCTACTTACTTGGCTATTCACTCCAATGTGTGACATTTTCTAGATTCTGCAAAAGTTTTATGTGGAAGAAAATCTTTTGGAAGAGGAAGAGATTTCCTCTGAGGGCATGAAATCACTGACATGTTTTGTTAATAACTATCTTTGACTATCTTTACTATCTTTAAGTATCTTCCTATATAAGAAATTTAAACTTTTAAACTAAAGGGTAATATTTTCATGAAAACCAGATTAACAAACTAATGCTTGTTTTTGATGAAAGAGAAATGAAAA